AAAAAAAAAAAAAAAAAAAAGTACTTTAAAGTTTGATGCAATACGCCTACCAATATGCTTTTTAGTGCTTCTGCTGTTTCACCTCTTCCACATTGGGAAAATGTTTTCCCTATGAGGACTTTTTCATCTGGGGAAACAACAACAAAAAAGTTGCTTGGGGCAAGACTGGATGAATAGGAAGGGTGGGGAATGGGGGGGAGGGGTTATGCTGGTTTTTTCCTTTTCTTTTTTTGAGTCAGACTCTCACTCTGTCTCCCAGGCTGAAGTGCAGTGCCATGCTCATGGCTACCGCAGCCTCGGCCTGCTGGGCTCAGGCAATCCTTCTGCCTCATCCTTCCAAGTAGCTGGAACTACAGGTTAAGTTTTTGGGATTTATTGTAGAGATGAGGTCTCACCAGGCTGGTCTTGAACCCCTGAGCTTAGGCAATCCTCTCGCCTCAGTCTCCCAAAGTGCTGGGATTACAGGTGTGAGCAACCGCACCCAGCCTGGTTTTTGATCAAAAACTGCTAAACACTCAGCGCAGTGTGGTCTGGTTATTTGTGTAAACCACATATCATGAAATGGGCAAAAGCACTGAAAGAATCTCCAAAAGAAAATCCACTGAAGCTGACCGCAGCCTCACACAACACTACCTGGCACACTGATGCTGACGGCTTCCTAGAACACCTAGTGGGGAAGCCTGTACAAGGGGACTGCCCCCCAAAAGATAATTCTGGGTTTTCTTGGGTCCCTCTTCGTAACTGTTTCCCTGTCTGTCCTCTCCTCACCTGTGGGGCTCTGTGTGGTCCACACCTGAGACTCCTGCCTATGGACAAGTACAAGACCCTGAATCTGCCTGTAACTCAGGGATGACAGTTGCAATGCCTGCAACAGCCTGGCCCTCAATGGCCCACCCAGCCCTGGTCTCCAGGGCCCACCTTGGAACGGGAGATGAAGAGGAAGCAGCCGGCCAGCAGCAGCCCCTGCAGGGTGGCCTGGAAGTCACTGAACTTGACGCCCTCCAGGTAGAGGACACTCTGGCTGTAGGCCAGGATGAGGGCGTTGAGTGCCAGGATCTTGAACATCTGCAGTGTGGTCACCAGCGTGCAGCGGCCCTGCTTGATCACGTGGCAGACTGCAGGGTGAGGGGAGGCGGGTGTGGGTGGTGGTACTGGGGGGGGCAGGCAGGGATGGGGTGGATGAAGGACTCACTGCACTGAATGGATGAGAGCTTGGAGGTGAAGGGTGCAGCGATGCTGGCGTCCCCCAGCTTCACGATGGGTGTGCTCTCATCCTCGAGGTCCCGCAGTACCTGGCTCAGGCGGTCCTGTGGATGGGCGGCAGGGGTCAGCCCCGGCCAGGAGGGGCACTGGCACCCCCCTGCCCCAAGACTCACCCTCTGGGAGGCCAGCTGCTCCTCAGGGGGTGGGAGACCTGACCTCTGCTTGGCTGTCCTGGAGGTGGCTCTGAGGCCACTGTTGCTCAGGGTTGGGCTGTCCCGGGGAGGCCGCCGCCGCCGCTCGACCACCCGCTCAGGGGCATTGGCCAGGAGCGCCACACCTGGCGGTGGGAGGGCGTGAGGACCTGAGGCGCAGGCTCCACACAGATGGACTCAACAGCCTCAGAGCCACTGCTCCTCAGTCCTGAAGTGCAGCTTGTTCTGCTCAGACCTCCCCAGGCTACCTGACCTCCACAAGACCTCAGAGCATGCCCATTTAGCTTTCTACAAGCTACCCAAGAAAGCACACCAACAAAAATCTCCACAGCAAATCGCATGAGAGACACATGACCCCAGATGGGTCAAAACTAAACTGGTTTCTAAAGAAATGGATACCAAGGAGCATCATTCTCAGAGGTAAATCATACTTGACATGCTTTAGTAAAAAAAGCAGGCACATTTTGGAAAAGTGCAAACATCTTAGGTTGATCTTAAAAGCTAAACTAAACACCTGTGTTCTGACAGAGATCCGAGGCTACGAGCTATTGGTCTTGAGTCACTCTCCCCACTTGTCCCTTCTCTCTCTGGCTTCCGCCCTGTTCCTCTGACACTCATGTCCCTTCCAGACTTTAAAGTTCCCTGGATCCCCTGACCTTGCTGGTCCCCTCCTGTCCCCTGCATCGCTTCCTCATAGGGCTTAATGCCCCCGTGATTGAACCTGTGCAGCAGTGAGGGCTTTCTTACTTTTAGACATGCAGGCTCACTGTGTCTCCCAGGCTGAAATGCAGTGGTGTGATCATGTCCTCAAGATCTTAGGCTCAAGTAATCCTCCCACCTCAGTCTCCGAGTAGCTGGGACTACAAGCATGTGCCACCATACCTGGCTAATTTAATTTTTTATAGAGATGGGGTCTTGCTACATTGCCCAGGTGGGTCTTGGACTCCTGGGCTCCAGCAATCCTCCCACTGCAGCCTCCTGAGTAGCTGGGACTGCGGGCATGAGTCACCATGCCTGCCTCAAGTCTATCTGTCCCCTCACTGACATTCCCCTAATGCCAGATTCTTGAAGAAAAAAGTGCCCCCAGCTCTCAGGCTCACCCACATCGGCGTGCTTCAGAGCACCCACGTCGTTGGTGCCATCTCCGCACATGAGGGTCACATAGCCCAGCTCCTTCAGGCTGGTGATGACGAACTCCTGTGCGGGCAGAGTTGGGCTGAGCAGGGGCTTCGGGTCCACCTCCCTTGCCATCCCCCCAGGACCATGCACATACCTTCTGCTTGGGGGCCACACGGGCAAACACCTGCACGTGGGGGATGAGGCAGAGCAGCTGCTGTGGGTCGGTGGCCTGCAGGTGGGCCAGGCCATCGCCTGTGAGGCATAATGCATGCTCTAGAGTCAGGGCCTTCGGGGAGCCCTGGGCCAGGGGCAGCACGACGCTGCCATCAATGGAGCGCCACTCGCATGGTTCGCCTGCAGGTAGACAGTCAGGGTCAGGGATAGGCTCACTCAGGCACCCAGCACTGGGTGGCCAATCCTCTCTGGAGCCTCTACTTCCCTGCTCCTATACCATCCTGAGCCCCATCAGGTACCCAGCTCTGCTCTGGGCATTTCACAGAGAACATACGTAGAATCTCAGGTGCAGATGGGGAAACCAAGAACCTAGGACCTGAGTTACTCACCTGAGGTCCCATGACGGAGCCAGGTAGAACCCAGAAAGTCTGACCTCAGCTACACTGTCCCCCGCCTCATGCAAGGCCCCCGGACTGAGGCCCCTGATGAACTCCTGCCCCTGAATTCCGCTTTCCTGGGCCAGGCTCCTTTTGAACTCTGCCAGGGCTACCCACCCCTTACTGTCTTCCTCTTTCTTTACTTCCTCTTCTTTGCCGGTTGGCCCAGCCTCGGACACTGGGCAAGGAGGATGGCCAGGAGAGGCCCACCAGCCTGCCCCGCTGGGTTGCTCGGCCTGGACTGCCCCAAGCGGGAGGGAAACCAGCCTCCACTTGGTTTTTGTTGTGGCCGTTTTGTTAGAGCAGCTGTGCTTTTCAATGAACAGGCCTGATCCTCCCTTCATGGCATTTGCCTACCATCCCCAGGCCGGGCTGGGATGGAGGGTGACCTGGGACCAACAGCACAGATGGAGGCAAGGACTCAGTATCTGAGAGGCTCTGGAAACTGCCCTGGCCCTAGGAAATGGCAGTCCTGTAACAACCTTGCCCTACATGCTTCCTCTCAGGACCTGCTGTGGCCCCTCATGCAGGCCCTGGACTGTGTCCTCGGGGGCCTCACCCCTTGCCCTGGGGCAGGCACCTGCCCTTCCATCAGTCAGACTCTGGGACACTGCCCCAAGAGGCCACTCCAGAGAGGCAGAGAGATGGGGCCATGAGCTATGGAGCCAGACTGTCTGGGTCCCAATCTTTGGCTGTGATGACATGAGTGACCTGGGCAAGTGGGTTCACTTCTGAGCCTCTGTTCCCTTGTCTACAAAGCAGGGGCCTCAAACGCTGACTCAGCCAGCTTTCTCCTCCGTGGTGTGGGGTGGGACAGGGTGGAGGAACCAATGAGGCAATGTCCAGAGCCCTCTGCCTGGGGTCTGGCCATAATGGTGCCACCATCTGCTGCTGTCGGTACCAGCAGTCCCTGTGCTCAGGAAGGGGGCACTCAGCAGGTGGGACACCTGCAGGACCTTGGTGGATGTGAGGCAAGGCCTTGCTACTGTATGTATGTAAAGAAACGTCTAAATGCCCCAGACCCTGGAACCACCCACATGCTGCCCAAAGGGCCCAACAGGCTGGGCTAATTGGTGGCGCCATTGCAATGACTGTTTGAGGACATTGTGCTGCCGGAACAGGAGCTATTCTTGGACTCAGGGTCACCTCCGTCAGCTGTGCTAGAGCCTTACCTTTCTCTGAGGGAGGCTGCAGGATCAGTGTATGGGCCTTTTCAATGAAGTGCAGCTCCTGGGCCACATGGCAGGCGGTGAGTGGGTTGTCTCCTGTGATCATGACCACCTTGGGGAGTGAAGGGTGGGGGCTCAGCAGGGCAGCCTGGAGGAACCAACCTCCAGCCTGGAAACCTGGCTGCCAAATCTAACGTAGGCCGTGTGGGAGGTTCTGGCCCTCTAGTGGAGACCCCAGTGGGCTTTCACAGGCCACAATCCACCCCCACGCAAGGCTTTTTACACAATCAATACAGATGTGTCCTTTCGAGCTAACCCACAGCTTCTATTTGCAACACCAATTAAGACCCAGCCCTGCCGGCTCGGTGGCTCAGCCTGTAATCCCGCGCCTTTGGGAGGCTGAGGTGAGTGGATTGCCTGAGCCCGTGGGTTCAAGACCTGCCTGGGGAATTTGGCGAGACCTCATCCCTACAATAAACAAAAAAATCAGCCGGGCATGGTAGCGCATGCCTGTAATTCCGGCTACTCAGAAGGCTGAGGCGGAAGGATTGTTGGAGCTCAGTGGGTCGAGGCTGTGGTGGCCGGAGCGGCCACTGCACTTGTCTGGGTGACAGAGTGAGACTCCAACTCATAAAAAAGAAAAAAAAAAAAAAGACCCAGCCCCTGGCAGGGACCCTCTTGGCTTGGCAGCTGCCTATGGAGGAAAGAAACATTTCATGAGGAGGGGGATGGGGCCATGACCACTGGGGACCTGGTGAGGACTAGCCACATCACCAAGCAGCACAACCCTCCAGTTGGCTCGTGCACCCGCCACACCCTAAAAACACACCCAAGTCGCAAAATAGATAACATCAAAAACTACCAGGATAGACAAGTACTGCCTTCATGCCCCTCGACTCCCGCAGCCTGTTTCCTCCTCTCTAGGATGGGGGAGTAGGGAGAACAGCTTCTCAGGGATGTTGGAGGGTCTGCAGAGGTGAGAAGTGCCGGCACAGGTGGATCCTGAGCGTCCTCGGGCCAGGGCCAACATAAGTACCCGAGCTATGGTTGTGCTCAGCTAAGACCTGCAGCCTTCTGTCTTGACATGGATGTCCACCCCCACAACCGGGCTGGAACTGCCCCCTGCTGTCACCTCCCCACCTCTGCTTCGACTTCCCATCTGTAGGGTGGAGCCGAACCCCATCCCATACCCGGTGGGATGCATTCTGGATCTCCCGGATCACAGCCTTGGAGTCAGTCTTGAGTGGGCAGGAGACTACGATGAAGCCAACGAACTTGAGGCTGCACTCTAGGGCTTCCCGCTTGACTTCCCGGGCCTGTGGACAGACACGGGTGCCCCCTCACCATCTGTCCCCACCTGGCATTTTCTGAGCTCCAATCATGTGCTGGGAGGCAGGGGATGATGGACTCCTCCCTGTGTGACAGTGCTGTGGGTGGGGGGTAAGAGACACAGAGAGGGCTCTAGGTACCCTTGAGGGACAGGGTACAGCAGTGGCTGGTGTCTGGGCATCTATCATGCCTCTATCTCATGGTTGTGGATATGGGTAAGTCATGGAGCCCCTGAGGCTTAGCTTTCATGTCAATAAAGCTGGAGTTTTAATAAAGCTGGGGTTTAGCCAATACCCATACTCATCTTCTATCACACATACCCTTTAGGAAGCTTACATTGTCTTGGGGAGACACTTGACAGAGAAAGTCACAGAAATCGCAGTACAGAGTGCCACAAGAGAAGATGAGGAAAAGGCAGACAGGGTCAAGAGATGGAGCCCAGGGGGTGGGGAGGCCTTGGAGATGGCCACTGTGAAGGGGGAGAGGGGATGTGCCACTGGAGAGAGGGGGGCTCGGGGAGTAGGAAGAAGGCATAGTACACTGGCTGTGAGCCTCAGCCTGGCTCTGCACACAGTCCTGCAACCTGCTGTCAGGTTCTGGAAGGACTTGGAAGGACCTCATGGCTGTGGAGTGCGGGCAGACTGAACGAGGGCTGGGCTGAAGTGAAGCAGGTGAAGGGGACGATGTGTCACTGGTGGAGGAGGGAGGACAGGATATGTGGACAACAGAGCTGAGGACACTATCCAGTTCCTGCAGGAACCAAGTGGTGGGCAGTGCGGGAGCAGGTGCAGGGGGCACGCTAGGGTGGGGCATGCACAGTCTGGGTGTGCTCTGTGTGTACAAGGCGGGATGGGCCCCACAGAGGGGGACTGAGGACCATGCGCCACTCAGGACCTCCAAAGGGAGAAGCTAGGGGTGGAGTGGTAGGACGGCGCATGGGGGACAGGCAGCGGCGTGAGGGAGACAGTGCAGGCTTGGAAAGCCCAGGCCCTTACCTGCTGGTGAGTGAGGTGCCCCAGTTCCTTGTACCCCAGCGCCAGGACGCGGGCCCCCTCTCGGGAGATCTCGGTGTGGATGTAGTGGTAGTCGGGCGGGCACTGGGCGAACTGCAGGGAACACAGAGGGATGTTACTGATGGGTCATGACCCCAGCCCCCACCCTGGGCCGGGCCAGCTCACCATAGAGTGCAGGGTTTCGGGGGCCCCCTTCACAGCCGCGATGTAGCAAAGGTCGGTGGAGCCCAGCTTCTCGTATGAGGCAAGCACGGACATTCGCTTCAGGGCACTGGCAAAATGAAAGCGCTGGTGAATTTTCAGCCCCTGAGTTTTAATACTTCGGGGGAATACTTTCTCATCTGGAAACAAATAAGTACGAGTACTGAGGGGCTTCGCTCCAAAGAGGCAGCCAAGCCCCTGCCTCACC